ACATTGGTTAATAAAATTATATAGGCTTAAGGTGTACAATTATATGTCATCTGTATATTGTACTGTGTGTTCACCACCCCAAGTCAAGTCTCCTTCTATCACCACTTATCCCCCCTTATATACTCTCCTGCGTCCCTCAAGCCCCATTTCCTCTGGTAAGGACATCATTATTTTAAAGTGATGGACTGGAAAAAAATATTTATAATGTATATACCAAATTCAGATTAAGATTCATAAACTATAGACTTCTACATTAAAAGATAACTCAATGGAAAAATGTTCTAAGGCCACAAACAGGCAATTCATAGTGAAAGGAACATCAATTAGGCCAGTACACCTATGAAAAAAGGTTCAACCTCATTAGAGAAGTACAAATTAAAGCAACAATTTTTACCCATGAGACTAATAAAAATAAACACTGATAATTTTTATTGTTCACAAGGCTGTGGAGAAACAGGCATGCTTATACACTCTTTTTAATTTTTTTTCCTTTATTGATTTTAGAGAGAGAGGGAGAGAGAGAGATAGAAACATCAATAAGAGAGAATATTGATTGGCCACCTCCTGCATGCCCCACTGGGGATCAGGCCCACAACCTGTGCATGTTTCCTGACCACTGGGAATCAAATTGGCGACCTCCTAGTGCATGGGTCGAAGCTCAACCACTGAGCCACACCAGTCGGACCATACTTATACACTCTTAATGGAAATGTAACTTTGTAAAGAATTTCTGGTTGACAGTTTTTCATAATATACCCAAAATTAAAATGTTCATACCCTTTGATCCAGCAATTCCATTTCCAGGTACCTAATGTACAGAAATAATCACACAAAATGGGCAGAGATACAGGCAAAAGGATGTTCACTTCACCATTGTTTATAATGGTGAAAAACTGGAAATGATCTAAGAATTTACCAATAGGAGAATGATTAAATAAATTGTGGTACGTTCATACTATGAAATACCATGCAGCCTTAAAATGAATAAGGTAGATCTATAAATGTAGTTTTATATGGTGATGTACAGAGAATAGAAATGCTTTTTCAAGATGAATAAAGCAAATTATAGAACAGTATGTGTATTATGATTATCTTTATGTTAAATAACCTCACCGTGTGTGTGTGTGTGTAGATTCATAGAGATCTGAGAAAAATGCAAAACTCCTATTGTTTGTGAGCATGGCATGATATTACACATGTTGTTGAGAGAATACAGATTTTCTCTTTATTCTCTGCATACTTCTTTTTTTTTAATTTTTATTTTTCAATAACAGTTACGTTCAATATTATTTTGTATTAGTTTCAGTTGTATAGCATAGTGGTTAGACAATCCTTTACTTACAAAGTGATATTTCCAGGTACCCGCCTGGTACCATACATCGTTATCACAATACTATTGACTATATTCCCTATGCTCTACTTTACATCCCATAACTACTTCTTTGTTCTTTAAAATCTCTTTACAATCAAAAGTATTACTTTTGACATTTTTAAGTTAAAAAATGAGGGATAAGTCAGATACAGCAAATTTCTCAAAGTTCCCAAAGATGAAATGTGGAGGCAGTAGCATGTTTGTTACATTACATTTGCACTGTGCCACTGTGCAGTGTGATGGGAGGGACAGCATCTAATACGTACTATGTGGCCTTGGGAAAGACACAACGTTTCTCAGCCTCCATTTTCTCATGTAGAGAATGTAGATAATACCTGCCCTATTTATTTTATTGTCAGTTGTGAAGATAAAATGGAAAGACAGTTTAAAAATTATAAATCCCAGTAAAAATGTGAGATATTTAATGTTTCATATGCCAGTTAATGACCCACTTCTTTTCAGCAATAGTCAAAAAGGTAAAAATTCAGTTTGAAGCAGAAAATCTAGATTATCTCTGAGAGTTTATTTTAACAGAATTCTACCTGTCCAAATTAGGTCCCACATAATACAAGTGTTGGTATTTTACCGAAATATTCTAGAGTGTCTTTTGTTTGTATAGGAGATTCTGGTGCAGATGTGTTTTAGCAATCGCCTTAAATCATACTCTCTATTCCAGCCATCCCAGGTCCAACCAGTTTGGACATACTGAATTAATGAGCAAGCTCACTCTTAATGTCTGCTTTGTACTTAGCACTACCCTGTGGGCAGGTGATCAGATATTCAGGTTTGCCTGGGACTGTTATGGTTTGCACTCTCCCATGTAATCGATAATAGTGCCCCTTTCAATTTCAAAAGTGTTCTAGATTTAATGATCAATTATATGGTCACCTTTTTATTGTCACATTACTACAGCAACCTATGGGTCATGGAAAGAAACATAAGAAGCCACTGGCTTACAAACAGTAGACTTAGAAATTTCTTTCCCTATCCCAGCTCCCCACCACTAGAAAAGCGAGTATTACTTCCAGGGGAGCCATTATGAAAACCATGGGTCTTTTGGAAACTTAGTAGACTCAGAGGTAAAGGTAAAACCAAGGTTGAGGAGAGCTAATGTGGACCTCCAGGTGGCCATCCTACAAGTTGTTCTCTGCAAAACCTTCCTCAGACTGTTTCTTTTCATTGTATTGACTAATACTCCAGAAATATTTCTAAGGGAAACCAAGCATTCTATTTCCAATAGTGCAACCAGGATGGGGAATGCTCATGACAATTGATTCTTGCCCTTTGAATGTCTGCTTATGCAGAGGAGGGAGTATGTTTCTGGAAGAAATAAGGTTGGCAAGAAAATTTAATTTTAATTTTTTTTAATCTCACTGGAAGATATTTTTCCATTGATTTTCAGATAGAGTGGGAGGAAGAGAAAGAGAGAGAAACACTGATGCGAGATACATCGATTGCTTGACTCCTGCATGTCTCTGACCAGGGCTAGGAACCGAACCGCAACCTACGTATGTACCCTTGACTGGAATAAAACCCATGACTCTTTGGTCTGCAGGCTGACGCTCTAGCCACTGAGCTAAACTGGCCAGGGCAGAAAAAGTAATTTTAAAGTGCAAGATATTCTGGGGAGTAGGACCTTCCCTTAGGGAAACTTAGGTACACAGGGGGTACACAGGGTCCTGAGGGTGGGGTGAATAAAGGAAGGTGAGTGACAAGGGAAAAAAATGTTGCCTTACATTCAACCCATGTCTTGGGAAGGGAAAGGAATGTTCTTTTCTCTGGTACCTGCTGCTCTTTTTTCTCCCTTGCCCTATATGGCCCAGTACGCAGAATTCAAACCAGTGCTACACTATGCACTGTATAGGTATGGGAATAAGACTTTTGTTTATAGCATTGCTTCAGCAGGAATGTGTAATCTTGGGTCCAATTATTGTGCTTACCAATACATTCTGGGGCACACTTTTTCTTAAGTTGGGAATTGCCTGTGTAAGACCTGGCCCCTGACCTGGAGGGACTAACAGTCACTGGATTTAGGGGAGACCCAGTTAATAAATTGTAAACTACTGGAGAGCAATCAAGTGCCAACTAATGGTAGGATATTGGCTCTATGTACAATGTGAATTTATCCAAAGGGGAGCCCTAAGAGGGGTGTTACATAGGACAGCATGACTGATCTACACTAAGAATGTGTTTAGATAATAACAGGAAGGAGAAAATTCTAAGTAATAATTGAAGTCACCTGGAGCCAGAGTTTGGCATCAGATATGAACATGGACAGGGAAGTCTATGAGAAGAAATCAGGCCTGATGGATGCAAAATGGCTTTCTGAGCAGCAGTAGGAAATTGGCTTGGCTAAAGTGTGATGAGGTCAAACATCTCTCATAAATTATAGTTCATAAAATTATCTCTGAAACTTGTACATATTTCATGTGACTGACTACTTTGAGGCAATAAATTCTGACAGCATGTTTCAGGTGAATAATTTAACGTGTCTAAATTCAGGAGAGGTGAGAACCAGATCTGGGAAGCCTGAGAATCCAGATTAAGGACTTTGGACTTTATGAAATAGTCCATAATGGTGTTACTAAAGATGCTTGATCAGGGTTGCAACATTGGCATATGGTTGGTTCAAAGGATTAAGGAGGAAGAAGTCAGGGAAACCACTTAGGAAGCTGCTACAGTAGTCCAGGGATTGAGGATCTGCACTTGGATCAGGATGGAAAGAGCAGATTAGAAAAAGGACAAATCTGAGAGCCATCGTAAAGCTGGAAACAGCAGGACTTCGAGACCGCATGGGAAGAGCCAGCGGAGGCCCTGTTTTTCTGAGGGTAACTTAAACACAAGACAAACTGTTACAAGTTCAGGTTCACATGAAGGCTTCTCACCTGTGCAGCTTGCCATTCCCTCCTAGTAAACCCCCTTTACAGGGAAGCCCTGTAGCACCTATTGAGTTACCTAATTCTGTGAAAATTCAGACTCATCCAATGTAAGTCTTAAAGCATTTATTCACTTATTTACCTGATTTTGCAAAATTAGGTGAGTGAATAAATGTTGTAACGTTTCTAACCTGGAAGACAAGCATGTACATTTCATTTTACTTCCAGTTGTGGTGGAGGGTAATGAGAACTGCCAGGGCTTCAAAAAACCCTGACATGTCTGGAGTTTCTTCACATAGAAGAATTTTGTAAAAGGATGTTAGTGAATCAATGCTTTAAGCCTTTTATGGAAATATTTGAAATTAATTAGCCTTATCAACTTTTATTTGCATAGGCTTTCTTCCAAATATATCTTTTCTCCCCAAGTGCAACTTTTATTAAAATTAACTTTAAACAATAAATCTTAGAGAATCTGTGTACAAAGAGCTTGGAGAATTTAAATATGTGGGTTTATTATTAACACAGTAGCAAATATATCAAGGAAACACGCCCCATGAAAAAGTGTTTCAAAGAAACAGAAATCTGCTCTGTGAAAGGTCTGTACCCAATAAGTAAGCCCGAAAAAGCTTGTTTGCTTGGTGATAGCTGAAGATAAGCCTGCCAAACCTCGGTGTGATTGAAGAAGTCAGTTGGAGACAGCCTAGCCCAGGCAAGCTACTGATCCCCAGCTGCACTCAACAAACTTCGGCACAATGGTATTCGCATTTTGGAAGGTCTTTCTGATCCTAAATAGCCTGGCAGGTAAGGAAAGGTTCTCCAAACCACCAAAGAAAATTGGGAATGTAGTTTCATTTTAAACTGAAATTGAAAACTTTTACATAGAATATTCCCCTCCTGTACTGGAAAGGAATTATGCTTAGTATGCTGAGTAAAAGAATTTTTAGAAATCTTGCTTAACAAATATGTGTCATGCTGATTTAGGGTGGGGGGGTAGCCTATAAATAGAATTGTTTTATGTAGCCTCTGAATTTTAAAATATTTTAAAAGAAAAATCACAGTAGCTCTTTTTTTTTTTTAGTTTAGTAGTTGAACAAATGAACTTAGAAACTCAAGCCTGTGCTAAAGATATATATTTTTTTCTGTTTTACTTGAGTATTATTTCCTTTAAGCTCCCTGTGATGAACCTGATATGCTACTGCAGGCAGAGTCTGGCTAGGAGGGCCTGCCATGCTTTACTAACATTTCTTAGAGAGTTGTACTTTTCAAAGTCTAAGCCTGTGTTTTGGAAACTATATGAGTGATTTATCATTGTGCAAAATATGGGTATTTCCAGGGAGTTGAGCAGGACAAAATCATTTTTTTTCTTTTTAAATATGTTCTTATTGATTTGAGAGAGAGAGAGAGACATTGGTGTGAAAGAGAAACATCCGTCGGTTGCTGCCCATACACACCCCAACCAGGGATCAAACCCACAACCTGGGTATGTGCCCTGACCAGCATTGAACTGAAGACCTTATGGTGCACAGGACAACACTCAACCAAGTGAGCCACACATGCCAAGACAGAACAAAATCATTTTTAGAGTCAAGATCCTTATGTGGTTAGACTCATAAGAGATCACTAATTCTGAATAATCTCTTGGCTAGTTTTTTTCAAATACTAGATATATTTTGAATTTGTTCTTATGATAAATTAGGTCCATGGTAGATGCAATAATATTATTTCTCCCCAAAATAATCTCTTTAAGCCATCAGTAATATTAGGCAATCATTATAATGAGGTTTACTAAGTATATTTAATGATATAAGAAAATGCTCAGGATAAAATGTTAAGTGAAAAAGCAGGATACAGTCACATTCCTAGAATAAATTGCTAGGTTATATACCAAACCGCTCATAGTGATTATCTGTGGGTGATGAAATCATAGATGATTTTAATTTTATTCCTCAGTATTTCCATATTTTTCAGGGTTTCTACAAAAATGCTATTTTTATTACCAGAATAAAAGTGTTATTTTTCAAAACTATATGCTTTTTACTAATAGTTCTCTAAATGCTCATTATGAAATGCTTAAACAAATATGTTCCACAGAGTCATCAGAAGGCAATACTGCATTTACCCAGTGATCTAACCAGGACTTAGAGCTGGAAAAAGCCACCTTTCTCAGTTTCCATTTTGGTGGGAACAGATGTTACTATTTTCCCTTTCCCTCAGGCATATTCATTTTAAACCTTAACTTTAGACAGTGAAAGTCTTTGTTTTCTTTAAAGAGCTCCCAGTCATTAGCTAATTGGGTCGCCCCTGGGCCTTCTGCACCAGCCCTCTAAAATCACACCTGTAGTCAACACCTATTTCCCTATGTGAGGCTTTTGTCTGGCCTGATCTAGACACCAGTTTTGGAACAGTTGTAAGAGTTTTTTTTTTTTTTACTGTAATTAATGTATACATAATTTTTACTTATTATAAATGTAATGTGCAGTCATTGTAGAAAGATTGGAAAATATAGAATTCTGTAAATAAGAAAATAAAAATCACCAGCAATCTTACCAGAAATTTGGGTAATTTTTTTTCTTTTGCAAGTATATATATATATAAAACATTACAAAATTGGGTTTATATCTTGTATCCAATTTTTTACTGCTTAAAAAACTACTTACACAATATCAGAATCTTACTTGATTATGACTTTTAGAACAAGGGCTAATCAGAGTGACTGATGAATATTTCAGTCTTTGTTCTGAAACTACTGTCCAACTGGTTTTATTGGCATATGGTGTATACTGTGTATCTATACATACACAGTGTAGCTGGCCTAAAGCAAATATGGTAGTATCAGTCTAGCAGATAGAATGGAAATGTGGTATAACATATTGTTGTTTTCCAAACATATGTATAGAAGTCAGAGAAAGATTTCAATTGTCTGTACCTGACATTAGCAGTGTCTATCACTTGATCCAAATATGGCTGTGAGGCAACTGGTAATGTTTCCATCGATGTGTAATTTGATGGCCTAGCTGAACTTGTTTTCTGGTAAGGAAAAATGTCATGTTTTTGGCGTTAAGCACGGTGCCAGGTAAATAGTGGGTACAAAGGAAATATTTATGGAAAGAATGAATTACCTGGGGAACATTATGTTAAGTGAAATAAGCCAGTCATAGAAAGACAAGTATTATATGATTTCACTCATATGTGAAATTAAATGAACAAACTGAACTACTAAGCAAAATAGAGACAGACTCAGAGAGAGTACACAGATAGCTCCAGGGTGGTAGGGGGTGGGGGATGGAGAGGTTGAGCAAAAAAAGAAAAAAAGAGAGAGAACTCATGGACATAGACAACAGTGCAGTGATTGCAGGGGTGGAGGTGGAAAGGGGCATAGAGGAGATAAAAGGTGATGGAAAAAATAAAACTCATTTTAAAATTACCCTCTGAAATCCTTCCATTTGCAACATGAATGGACCTTGAGAACATTATGCTAAGTGAAATAAGTCAGATGAAGACAATATTGTTTACTTGAACTTATATGTGGAACCTAAAAAGCCTGAATTCATAGAATCAGAGAGTAGAGTGATGGTTATCAGGGTAGGTGGGTGGGGAAAATGGGGAAATGTTGGTCAAAGTGTACAAACTTCCAGTTGTAAGATGAATAAGTTCTGGGGATATAATGTACAGCATTGTGACTATAGTTAACAATACCATATTACATACCTAAAAGTTGCTAAGAGAGTAGATTTTAAGTGTTCACACCCCCAAAAAGAAATGGTAATTATGTGATGTGATGGAAGTGTTAATGAATTATACAGTGGTAATCAGTTTGCAACACGTTGTACACGTTAAACTTACACAATGTTATATGTCAATAAAGCTGGAAAAATAAAAGAATGGATTACTTTCCCAAACTCTAAACATCCAGAAATAATTTTCACATACATATTTAATGTCAATTTTCTGTACAACTAAGCAAGGCAGACTTTATTTTAATTAAAATCTTTCTGATGACTCCTTAGGAAGTCTTAGGCTAAATTCTACTTTAGAAAAATAATTTCAGTCAAAGATTTCTTCTGAGAAAAGTTCATGCAAATCATGTTAGGTGCTTATAATAAATATTAGTCACCTGTTGGAAATGTATGTTGACATTTTTTCATTTTCTGGAGGAATATGCTGTGCATTTTAAAGCAGTAATATGTTTGAACGTTGGTTTTGCAGTCAAGTCCAAAAAGTGAGCGATCATTTGGTTATATTATCTTCTAACTCAAACATGATGCCATTATACATGAAGTTGCTGGAAATTAAATCACTTCAAATGCAATCAGGTTAAATATGGCTATTTGGAGGATATTTTTGCCATGGTACATTAGGAGAATAATTACCCCCCATAAGCAAAGTTCTAGCCACATTGTGGGTGTTAAATAAATGAATGAACAATCACTACCAAAATATGAGTCATTTAAAATCTTTTTAGAGTGTTGATTAATTTAAATGTATACTCCTGTATTATTTTACTTTAATAATAGGCACTTATTTTTTAAAAGCAGTCACACATATCCAGGTTTTTTTGTGTGTTCTGTGTAAGTCAGTCAGGTCATGAGTGGAATTGCAATCCTAAGTTTTGTTTAAATCAGGTACTAATTTTTATTTTGCTATGTATTCACAATTTCATTAATGGAGTGATTTTTCTGCCTCTTTTCAATTTTTAAACAATTTCTCAATTTAAAGAAAATTAATCCAAAGGAAGGGGAGTTTTTTTTTCCCGACACTCACAGAATCACCTCTAATTTAAGACTAAATTTGCACTGTTCACTGTCTACATGTGGCTAAGTTTAATAAATTCAAATTAAACATAATTAGAAATTCAGTTCCTTAGTCACCCTAGCCACATTTCAGGTGCTCCATAACTACATGTGGATGATGGCTACTGAATTAGACAGTACAGAGATAGAATATTTCCATTATCATAAAAAGTTCTATTACCTAATGCTGGGCTAGAGGGTGAACTCAGAGGTTTAAGTAATGTGCACTAACTGAATGATGTAATATTTTTTTAAAGTTCATCAGGGAATATACAGCTCTTAACTCTGAATTATATTGTCACTGTATTAGGTATGCATTCCCACCAGCAATGAATGAGAGTTCCTGTTGCTCCACATCCTCACCAGCATTCAGTGTTGTCAGTGTTTTCAATTTTTGTGATGTGGAGTATCTTTTATACTCTTATATATATATATATAAAATCTTTGGTGAGATGTCTGTTAAGGTTTTGGTCCATTTTTTAGTCTGATTGCCTGTTTTCATATTATTCAGCTTTAAGAATTCTTTGTACATTTTGGATAACAGGTTGTTGTTGTTTTTTTTTTATCAGATATGTCTTTTGAAAATAGTTTCTTCCAGTCTGTAGTTTGTCTTTTCATTCTCTTGATACTATCTTTCTCAGAACAAAAATTTTTAATTTTAATAAAGTCCAGCTTATCAATTTTTTCTTTCATGTATTGTGCCTTTGGTTTTGTACCTAAAGTCATCATCAAGCCCAAAATCATCTAGATTTTCTTGTATGTTATCTTCTAGCAATTTTATAGTTTTGCTTTTTACTCTTAGATCTGTTACCTATTTTGAGATAATTTTTGTGAAAGGTGTGAAGTCTGTGTCTAGATTTGTTTTTTACACATCAAGTTGGACATCAAGTTGTTCCAGAGCATTTGTTTAAAAGATAATCTTTATTCCATTGTATTGCCTTTGCTCCTATGTCAAAGATCAGTTGACTATACTTATTTGGGTCTATTTCTAGGCTCTCTATTCTGTTCCATTGATCTATTTATCTATTTTTTAATAATATTACATGGTCTTGATTGCCATATCATAGCTTTCTAGGAAGTTTTGAAGGTGGATAGTGTCAGTCCTCCAACTTTGTTCTTCTTCTTCAATATTGTGTTGGCTTTCCATGTAAATTTTAAAATAAATTTGTCAATATCCACAAAATAACTTGCTGGGATATTGATTGGAGCTAAATTAAGTCTATAGATGAAGTTAGAAAGAACTGACATCTTGATAATATTGAGTCCTCCAATCCATAAATATGGAATATCTCTCTACTTACTTAGGTTTTTCTTCAATTTCTTTCATCAGAGTTTTTTTTTCGTTTTTCCCATACAGATCATGTGGAGATTTTGTTAGATTTGCAATGAAGTCTTTCATTTTGAAGGGTGCTGATGTAAATCGTATTGTGTTTTTAATTTCAAACTTCACTTGTTCATTTTTGGTATATAGGAAAGCAATAAACTTTTGTACATTAACTTTGTATCCTGAAACCTTTCTATAATCACTTATTAGTTTCAGGAGTTTTTTGCTGTTGTTGTTGATTCTTTTGGATTTTCTACATAGACAATTAAGTTACTTGTACTTTCTTTCACAATCTGTGTATCTTTTATTTCCTTTTCATGTCTTACTGCATTAGCTAAGACTTTCACTATGAGGTGGAAAAGGAATGATATAAGTGATGTCCTTGCCTTCTTCCTGATCTTCATTAAGAAAGCTAGTTTTTTTTTTTTTTTTTATCATTAAGTACAATGTTAGCTCTAGGTATTTTGTAAATGTCCTTTATAAAGTTGAGAAATTTTTTCTCTATTTTTATTCCCAGTTTATTGAGAGGTGTTTTGTTGTTTTTGTTTTTTTTTAAATCACAAGTTGGTGTTAGATTTTGTCAAATACTTTTTCTGCATCTATTGATATGATGATGTAATTTTTTTTTTCTCTTTAGCCTGTTGCTGTGATGGATTACATTAATTTATTTTCAAATGTTGAACCAGGCTTGCATACCTTGGATAAATTCTACTTCGTAGTAGTATAGAACTTTTAAAATATTTTTTAAAATTTGATTTGTTATATTTTATTGAGGATTTTGCATCTATGTTCATGAGATATATTGATTTCTTTTCTTGTATTGTCTTTGTCTGGTTTTAGTGTTAGGGTGATGTGGCCATTACAGAATGAGTTAGGAAGTATTGCCTCTGTTCTAGCTTCTGAAAGAGATGGTAGAGAATTGGTATAATTTCTTCCTTGAATATTTGTTAAATTTCACCAATGAACCCATCTGGGCCTGGTGCTTTCTCCTCTAGAAGGTTATTTATTATTCATTCAATTTATTTAATAGATATAGAATAGATATAGGCCTGTTCAAATTGTTTACTTCCCCTCATGTGAGTTTCAGAATATTGTATCTTTCGGGAAATTGGTCTATTTCACTAGGTTATTGAATTTGTGGGCGTAGAGTTGTTCCTGCATTTCTATCCTTTGAATATTCATAGAACCAGTAGTGACTACCCTTTTTCATTTCTCATATTAGTAATTTGTGTCCTTTGTATTTCTTCTTAGTTAGCTTGGCTAGAGTCTTATCAATATTATTGATCTTTGCAAATAACTCATTTTAGTTTTATTCGTTTTCTCTATTGATTTCTTGTTTTTTGATTTCATTGATTTCTGCTCTAGTTTTCATTATTTCTGTTCTGCCTGCTTTGGAATTCGTTTTCTCTTTCTTCTAGTTTCCTAAGGTGCAAGTTTAGATGATTGATTTTAGATATGTATTCAATGGTATAACTTTTCCTTTAAGGACCGCTTTTGATACACACTATAAAATTTGATAAGTGGTGTTTTCATTTTCAGTTATTCAATATATTTTAAAATATCTCTTGAGATTTCTTCTTGACACATTTGTTATTTTAAAGTAAGTTATTTAGCCCTGGCTGGTTTGGCTCAGTGGTTGGAGCGTCGGCCTGCGGACCAGAGAGTCCTGGGTTCGGTTCCCGATAGGAGCATGTCCCCCCCCACACACAAAAAAGTAAGTTATTTAATCACCATGTACTTTGGGACTTTCTGGTAATTATTTTATAATTGATTTCTACTTTAATCTCATTGTGGTCTGACAGCAGACATTGTATAACTTCTATTCTTTTAAATTTGTTAAGGTTTGTTTTATGTCCCTCAACTTGGTCTCTCTTGGTGAGTATTCATAATGTTTTAAAGGACATCTCTTTGTATAGAACATGACTCAATAACAGCAGAATGCACTCCCCCCAACCAAGGACCCACAGAACATTCACCAAGATAGACCAGGTGCTTGGCCATTAAACAGACATAAAAAATGTGTTAAAATTTGAAATCATACAGGGTCTATTCTCTGAACAAAATGCAGTCACAATAGAAATCAAGAACAGAAAGACAATAAGTAATTCTTTAAACACTTGAAAATTATACAACACATTTCTAAATAATCTATGGATCAAAAATGAAATCACAAAGAAAAAATTTTAAACGTATATAAACTGAATGAAAATGAAACTATAACATATAGAAATATGTAACATGTAGCTGCTGAGAGAGAAATTTATAATATTGAATGCTTACATTTGAAATGAAGAAATGTCTCATCATTAATTGAAGTTTCAACATCAAGGATGTAGATAAAGAAGGACAAAATGATCCCAAAACAAGCAGAAAGAAAGAAATAATTAAGAGCTGAAGTCAATGGAATTATAATAAGAAAACTATAGAGAAAATAAAATAAAATAAAAATATGGTTCATTTTTAGATGTCTGTTTAATGACCAAGCACATGGTCTATCTTGGTAAATGTTCTGTGGGTCCTTGGTTGGGGGGGGGGTATATTCTGCTGCTACTGAGTGGTGTTCTATACAAAGAGATGTATAGAAAAAAATCAATAACTAAAATTGGCAAGCCTCTAGCAAGACTGGTAAAAATAAAAACAGATAAGACATAAATAATATCAATAATAAAATATGGGACATAGATCTGGTAGTCCTTAAAATTTTTAAGGAGACAGAGATTTAATGTACACTTTACAAAACCCCACCCCCCATGGTAACATTTTATAAAACTATAGTATAATATCACAAGCAGGACATTGACACAATCCACTGATCTTACTTATATTGTTCCATTTTTACTTGTACTGTGTTTATGTATATTGATTTAATTCTATACAATTTTCAATTTAAAATTATTGGGAACCCCAAAGAATTTTTGCCATGTGGGTTATTTCTACCTATATTTACAGTATTCGCAAATAAAACAAAAAATAAATTAAAAACAAAAATATACAGGCACACATTCCATTAGTTTCTAGAGCAATGACATCATTACCTATCATGTGGCTTCTAGAACACTTTATTGTACACTTATGAAAGGATGACACTGAAAAAATCTAAATATTATTATGAATATAATTTTGATCTTTTAGTCTAACAAAATGGCTTAGAGATAATGACAACAAACTCATCCATGGTTTTTCTGGGACTTTTCTGGTTTAAGCACTGAACATCCTAGCAAACCAGTATGGCTTGCCTGAGACTTGCCTGGTTTTAAAATGGAAAGTACCGTACCCAAGGGACCCCAAAGTTCTTGGAAAACTAGAATGGTTTTTCTCCATACTCAAGGACCTTTGTGGGTCTCTGAACAGCATTTTAAAGACCTCTGCTCAAGGCATCCTTACACAGAAGAAATTCCCAGTTCAGTGCTACCACCTCACCATCATATAGAATTTGAATATCTTCACAAAGTAATTTGTTAAAGACTGCCCTACCCCATGCCAATTGCTTGCTCTGTTTTTTAATATGGTTTTTTCTGCCTTCTCCTTTTCACCTTGGATTCCTCAAATAAGATGTAATTGAAAGTGTTTTGTAATGAAAAACTATAATCAGAATGTGAGTGTGTACCATTACCATTTTGATGATTATCTTTTCAGGTCAAGTTATTTTGGTGCAAGTGACCATCCCAAACAGAGTTGTGAATGTGACTGTTGGATCTAATGTCACTCTCGTCTGCACCTACACCAGCACTGTGACCTCCCGGGATAATCTTTCTATTCAGTGGTCACTCCACAATAATAAGGAGTCGCAGCCGATTACTGTAAGAACTTTATTCCTAAACTATTCCCTTTTATTAGTTCTGACATAAACTGTTGAAGTCTATCTATGAAGTAATGGTAAGCCGGTGACAACAGTGGCAAAACCTCAGATACAAAGAATTTAAAGATAGTTGTTTAGGGAATACCATCATGTAAGTGAATTGGCCTCTGTCCTCTCTTCATATTCAGGTATAGACTGTTATCTCAATTCTGTGTAAGTCAACATCAAATATATCAGGTATTCCAGAGTAGACAGAAACTGTATATCTCATAGGTGAAATAAGCAGTTCTGAAATGATCTCCTCCCCCTTAAATCTTTCTCACTATTTCCAGAAGACCCTAGTTCAACTTCATGTCCTAATTGACCTGTAGATCTCTGTCAAACTTAATATCTGGGATCTGCCTCTCAGGTGAACTAGCTCATTGCACCAGACTGAGTTCTGATGGAATGAGAGTCCCAGATGGGTGGAGAAGGCTAAGTAGTGATGAACTCTAGGTAATCAAAGACAGCAGGAAGCTAGAGGATAGAGGATAGGAGGGGTAGGCTAGAGTCTTGGGGGAGAAGTTTCCAGAAGAGAGAGTATGAAAGTCAAATGAAAATGACTCTACCAGCAAGCTGCCTGTTCCCAGGTTTTCTCTATCTGACCTTAAGGGTAATTGCATCTTTAAATTAGCCCAAGGATTCAAATTGTATACTCAAAGTGTGTCTCTGTGTGTGTGCATTAGGGTACAAGTACATATGCCAACACATATCCCTTGAGGGAAAAGATCTATAGCTTTCATCAGATTTTCAAAATGATGTATGATCCGAAACAAGGAATTCAGAGAAGAGACAAATAAAAGTGGTTTGGAATAGCTGGATGTATCTGAGTTTGGCCTTGAAGGAAAGGAAGGATTTTGATTAGTAGAAAAAGAGGGAGAGCCAATTAAGTGGGCTGGAGGAGGCCCAGGGCAGGGGTGAAGAAAAAGAAGGATGTTAGCTTGGAGAAGTTACACCTTGGCCAGGGTTGCTTCAGTCATCACTAGTCTTTTGGAGGTGCTGAGTTATCTCTTCACCAGAGGCCCTGAACACTTGTTTAGCAGGAAACATCATTCAAGAGGAGATTTAATCAATTCCACCCTCTAGTCAAAGTTCAATAATTTTGTTCATTACTGGTTATCTTAAACAAGTATCTGAATCACTCTGTGCCTCTCTTAAAATATGGTATAACAGCAATACTCTTCTATATGTCTCATGGGAAATCAACTCATACACAGTATGTAACAATACTTGGAAAAGAATATAAAGTCCTGTAAGTTTTTACCCCTGTAAACACTGTTACCAACATTAGCAGCAGCAGCAGCAGCATAAATCCACCAGTTTCCATCATCCAAAACATCCTGACCCAAGACCTCACATGTTGCAGTCAAATAAGAGAGAAGGCTGCTCTGTTAGATTGTGGATGACAATAATCATGTGATGTTTCTTACTTTCTAAAAGTTACATGCCTAACTAGTTTTATTTCAGTATATTCTTCCTCTGTAAGCCTAAAGTCCTTCTCATTTTGCCAGTAGGGGCTGAATTTAGAGAGAACTTGATAATATATATTTAATTTTTTTAAAATATTTGGTCCTCAAATCAAGATGTCTTCAACTGCCTGGAGGCCAGGCCAGAGCAGTCTGAATTCATAAACACAAATTCTTCTTCATGCCTTCTCTGACACTTGAATTTACAAGCTCACCTCTTAGTTGAACTATGTGGTTAGTGAGGAGCTCAGAGATGCAGGTTCAAATGATCTTTTGGCCAACGATGAGTTTTTTCTAGACCTGGAAATACAGATGAAGAAGGTATAGGTTGTTGAACTGACTGTAGCTTGAGCTCAGGACATCTCTTAGAGCAACTTTAGAAAGGAAATCTATTAACAAATAAGTATTTTAAATTTTTCCCTTTATTAATTTTAGAGAGAGAGGAAAGGAGAGGGAGAGAGAGATAGAAACATTGACGAGATAGAACATTAATTAGTTTCCTCCTGCATGTCCCCCACTGGGGATTTGGCCCACAACCTGGGCATGTGCCCTGACCTGGAATCAAACTGGTGACCTATTGGTGCATGGGTCAACGCTCAACCACTGAGCCACACCAGCCGGCCCAAATAAGTATTTATTAAGTAGCTTATTTACTTGTCATTTACCTCATTCTTCAAAATGTCTGATATAGTCAGGGCAAATAATTTAAGTTATCTACTCTTTGGGGATAGCCAAATTAAAGGAGGTTTTCTGCACTGAACTACTTGATCAGTGAAAAAATGCTCCTTCATCATAAAATATTCTAGGTGTTTCTTGAAGAGCATGGGGCCTGTGCTATTTGTGTCCTTTAGCCACTTGGAAGACAGGGTGGAGGAGGGACAGCTCTTGGCTTGGAGACAGTGAAAATCACTTCCAAAAAAGGCAAACTTTCCCTTCCCCTTCCTTGCTCCAGGAAGATCTCCATTCTAACTATCCTTCGGTCTCTACATCCAGAGAACTTGAATTCCTTCCCATTTTCCTCCATACACTGTAGGCATGTTCTCTCTGCTTTTCCAAATGAGCAATTTTGGAGCCCCAGTGGAAACCTTCTGATGGATGTTAGTTCTACTCCTTGTCCTTCTATTTACTTGCTGGCTGGATGACCTTTCAGAGAATCAGTTTTCCCATCTGTAAAAGGGGGTTACTTACTTACCTCATAGGTTTACTGTGAATATCTTTTTCATTTTTAAATTTTTATTAAATTTATTGGGGTAACATTGATTAATAGGATCATATAGGTTTCAGGTGTAGATTTCTATGATACATGATCTGTATATTGCACTACGTGTCCACCACCCAAAGTCAAATCATTTTCTGTCACCATATATTAGGTGCACTTCATCCCCCATGTCCCATCCCCTCCCTCTGGCAACCACTACACTGCTGTTTTTGTCCATGTGTTTCAGTTCCATATCCCACATATGAGTGAAATAATATGGTTCTTAGCTTTTCTTTGACTGACTTTATTACACTTAGTGTAATAGTCTCAAGATCCATCCATCTTGTCGCAAATGGCAGTATTTTGTCTTTTCTTATGACTGAGTAGTATTTCATTGTGTTTACGTACCACATCTTTATCCAATCCTCTGTCACAGGACACTTTGGTTGTCTCCATGTCTTGTCTACTGTGAATAATGCTGCAATATTTAATGAGATGATGCTTGTGAAGCACTAGGAAACTTTCTACATAGTAACCATTCAATGAATGTGAGTTATTATTATCAGCAACACTATTCGCAAAAACGGTGATTTTGAAAAATTCTTATCCCATCCACATCCCCGGATCATGGGCACTAGGGAACCCATCGCAACAAGAAACACTTAGTACAGCTGGTAAGTGGGACAGAACTCGGGGGAATCCTGGCCCAGAATTGGTTTCCAGTTTCACTGATTTCCAGGTCCCTGTGTGGGAGGGGTCAGGCCCCTTCTCTGTTTATTCCTTATCCTTGAACAGAGTACCTGCTCAACAAAGTGGTTGCAGCTATCTTCCCTTGAGATGGCATTTTCCAAAATAAAAATTTGGCTTCTACTTGAATTTTTTTTCCTCTTTGAGCACTTCCATGCATTCAGAATTCTGTAGAGAATTTGTATGTTAATCTAGGAATGGCTGGTAGGATTTTTGGAGGATGATAAAAGGAGACTGCTGTGTTATTAGAAAATTCTGTGATTTATGGGAGTAAGATGTTGCCAGATTGACCACTGAGTGATTCAATTCAACTCCTGGGTTGATGTGGCTGTATACCATTTAGCATTCGGCTCTCAGATCCACCCATTTCTGCTCAAACACAGCACAGCCCGTGCCTCAATACCGAGGGTATGGAGGAAAAGGCAGTCAGTCAGTGTCTAAAAATGGCGTATGCAAGAGACGATCGGGGAAGATGTAGCTGGACCTCTCAGGTAAGAACACCTATTGGTGTAATACTGGACCACTTCATTGTTTGGAGTCTGTAAGGCAATGGCGCTAGCTTTTAGGAATGGGAAGGGAGGATCTGAGTTTGGTAACAATACAGATAAGCACAAACCCCTGAGTTTGCCTTCTCATGCCCATGTCTGGAATTCTTTTGAGCCTCCTCCAAAAGGCTCAAGGCCTTATTGCTGCCCTGTTGAGCAGGGCAGTAACCAACTCTTATCATACACTCATATTCTCCTCCTCTCTCCAAATCATTGTTACAAAGGAGCAATTGACTCCAAGGCCTAGTGTTTCTCAATACCCATGGGAGGATGTTATTTCTTATTGGCTATCTCCTCTAGGGGGGTTCCTTTGGTGAATGAGATCTACAGAAGTATCCCACAAATCTTCCAGCCAGAGAGGCCATGATATTCATTAGCATGGTCCTCCTCTTAGAGAAGCTTTCCTCTTGGAAGACATGGACAGCTTCAGTTGATCACTTCCTCAGTAGGGAATCTTAGTTGAAGAATCTAGTTTCCAGGACAGGCAAGCTAGCATGGAAGTTTTGGGTGGTCTGGTGCCCCTCTGATCACAACAGTGGCCTCCTCTTCCACCCAGCCAGTCATTGGTGAAACTCCAGAGACCTCCGCTGTCTATGAATAGAACAGGCATTGATCCTACTTAGCATGGGTCTCTCAAACAATATTTACTTTTCTAAAATATCCATAGTGAAAGAAACCCTTTGCCATCCTCATCTCCCCAGCACATATAGAGTGTGGACAACTTTTTTCCATAATCTGCTGGTTACATTTCTTCTGTGTGAAATCTCAGCTCCCCTAGTACAGTCCAGAGAAAATTCTGGGCTTGAAACCATTGCTACCCTACACTCACCCTGCTTCTGTGGCTCAGCCCTTTATGAACAGTGCAGGAAAGCAAGAACCTGGAGGGGAAAGAATGGGTGGTTTGCTGTGTACTTCTATGCCCTCCACATTTCCAAAAGAACCGACAAAATCAGCTTTGAATGCTAAACACATTAACTGCAACTCAGACTCAAACAGAAAGCAGACTCAATTCTTTCAAACCTTTTGTTTATACTCCGGCCTCTAATTAGAGAGCAGTGTCATGAAGCTGAAGAAAGAATCTTTTTTGACAAATCTGGCTCCTAGCTGCATGGCCTCATGTGAATAGGAACTTGGCACAGTAGGAGAGGAAAGGCTGTTATTGCAGCTGGCAGACATTGAATGCATCGTGTGGTGAACATACTCGGCTTGGGAAGAAGCATCATGCCAATGAATAGCAGCAGTTGGCAGAAGAAGGGTCAGGCTGGAGTAGGGGATGGAATAGCCCCAAAAAGGGAAGGTTGCCTGGGGATCATCTTCCTTGCCTAAGTCAGAATTGTAAGTGCCATTCCAATATGTTCAGTGGGAATCGGGAGGTCTGAATTCCAGGTCTGACTATAAATTGTGTGACCTTGGGAAAATCACTTCCTGGAGGAGTCTTAGTGTCCTTTTCTGTAGTATAGGAGGATGAATCAGAGGTTGCAAACTAGAGGACTCTGGGCCTGATTTGGTCAGTATATGCATGTTGGATGGCCAACCCAGTATTTTGTTTGTTTCCACACTTTGAAAATCTTGATTGTATTGGATCCCTTGTTCACCACAGGCCCCACAACTCTCTGATCTTAACACTATCCCCTAGTCATTCCTCCCAGCCATTTACCATATTTTCATATCCATTTGGCTCCATAAGGCTCCTCGACCTCAGAAATCATGACTAAGTGATCTCTCAGGGGTCTTATATCAAATATGTTATTATGATTCCGCATTTAGCCTCTAACATCACCAATGAACAGACAGAGAGGACCCTGGAGGGAAAGTAGGGAAGTCTGCCATAAACACAACCACAAAGGGTGAGTGGGCATTAAATGAATAAGTACCACTTAAGGAATCACTTGGATGGATTTCCTTAAAGCAGACCCCCCCATCCCTGTCTGCCAAAGATGTGGCTTATTGAACATCCATGGCTTTTCCTGAACCTCAATCACTTTAACCTGTAAATTGACCATATACTTTCTTTGAAAAGTGTAAAAGCATCACAGGGTCATGGCCACGCCTTGATCATTGTTCAGCTTTGGTTTTTAAAAAACTTATTCTTTTGTGGAAAATGGAATCAAGTTGCAGTCCTTCCTACATGATTAGATAAGCAGGTTAAGGAAAACATTTTATTCTTTTTTCTTTATAAGGACAGTGTGACAGTGTGGACTTCCCCTAACAGAAAGTCCCTTTATCTATGTATCTGGCCACTGAGTAGCTCTGGACACTTTCCTTCTTACACAGCAACCTGAGACCAAGCCCTTTACCATTTAGGGCTCTATTGTTCTCTCTACTTACCCTATCCTGTCCCTGACACCCTTTAGTATTATTTATGAGAGGGCAAAATATAAGCTATAGTGTAAGGAGCTAGGATAGAAGGGTTGGTGAAGGTCCTTTTCATAGAGAAGTTACAAGTTGAGGCCTCATGATTATTTGATCATTTCGCCTTGATTCTTGCCCAACTGGGAGACTTTTAATGACTTATTTTCATGTCCTAGTCTTGGCATAAAACACACACTCTTGGCCCCTGATCTCTGCAGAAACAAGGTCATTTCACCTAGAGATCCTCTGAGATTTACTCTGAGTCATAGGCAAAACTGATGTCATATTTCATTGTGATGTCTTCAAACCTCAGTATAAAACACACTGCCCTACCCCCAGTCTTCCTGGGAGCAGGGGCACCTGCCAGATGTTGAAGTTGTAAAGGACTTGCTTCCTTGATGGACTTCAGGCTGTGTTCCAGGTAAGAGTCCACAGGGTCTTTAATTGTTGATTAGAAAGTAAATAAGCCCAATGCTGGCTAGTAAATGGAAAGCTGGATATCTTGGGTGTTAAATGAAGGGAATAGACATTTGACGAGTTGAACTTCCTCCTGGCTGACTTGGATACCTTAACACTGGCCTTCTGGTTTGTCAGTAAAACAAGACCCCTCTAGGGGCAAAAGTTAGTAATTTCAGTAGGTGTGAATGGATGAATTGAATTATAAATAACTCATTTATATGTCAGGAAAGAAAGCTAGTTGATGTTAGAGAACTGGAAGAGACAGACAAGCTATCTCTTTAAATATAATTTTTTCTTTGAATTTTCCCTCAGAATCTACCTTTCTGCTTTAGTTTTAAAATATATTGACTTTCTGTTTGAAGGACACTACTTTTGAATTTTCTAGACAATATCTTTTGGTTTGCCAATTACCTTTCCTCTGGCATTAGCCTATTAAGGTAAGGAGCACTGGAAAAGGAATTAGAAGAACTAGGTTCTAGAACTGTTCAACTGTAAACTTCTCTTCACTTCAATTTCTTCCATAAAGTGAGGAGAGTGAATTAAATGAACCATAGGCTTTTCAAGTAGATTTTATGAAAATATTAATTAGTTCCACTGGATCAGGACATTAACTGTTTATTGAATAACAAATATCATTTCAATTATACACATTTGTATGAAACTAACAAAGTATGTACATAGACTGTCTATATCAGCAGTTCTCAACCTGTGCATTGCAACCCCTTTGGGGGTTGCAGGACCCTTTCACAGGGGTGGCCTAAGACATAACAGTAGCAAAATTACAGTTATGAAATAGCAACAAAAATAATTTTATGGTTGGGGTTTGCCACAACATGAGAAACTGTATTAAAGGGTTGCGGCATTACGAAGGTTGAGAACCACTGGTCTATATTATGAAGAAAACTTAGGGATCAGTGATTCCAAAGCATCAGTCATTCATGTCTTGAATTTATGATTTTTGTTATAATTGTGCACACAAGCAGTATTATTTAATGTTTTATATACTGGCTTGTTTTCTTAAAAATGTTTAAATATCTATCTTAGTTTTTTTTAATTTTTATTAATTTATTTTTGTTACAGGTGTTTCTCCTTTTTTCCCCGATTGACACCCTCCTCCCCATCCCCCCACCCCGTACCTAACTTTTTTGTCCATGTCAATCTGTTATGCATACATGTATATAAGTTCTGTGGTTTATCTCATCCCTCCCCCCACCACCCCCTATTAGGATTGTCAGTCTATACTCTACTTCCACATCTCTGGGTCTACCCTATTCCTCAGACTGTTATGTTCATTATATTCCTCAAATAAGTGAGATCATGTAATATTTGTCCTCTCTGCTTGACTTGTTTCACTTAGGATAATACTTTCCAGCTACCTCCATGTCCTCTCAAAGGATACGAGATCTTTCTTTCTTACCACTGCATAGTACTCCATTTGTCTACTGATGGATACTTGGGCTGTTCCCAGATCTTAGCTATTGTAAATAGTGCTGGTATGAACATGGGGGTACATATACTCTTTCTGATTGGTGTTTCAGGCTTCTTAGGGTATATTCCTTGAAGGGGGATCACTTGGTCAAATGGAAGTTCAATTTTTAATTTTTTGAGGTAACATCATAGTGTTTTTCATAGTGGCTGCACCAGTCTGCATTCCCACCAGCAGTGCACTAGAGTCCCCTTTTCTCCACACCCTCGCCACACTTGTTGTTTGATGATTTGTTGATGGCGGCCATTCTGGCAGGAGTGAGGTGATACCTCATTGTTGTTTTAAATTGCATCTCTCTGATGATTAATAATGTTGAGCATTTCTTCATATGTCTCTTGGCCATTTGTATGTCCTATTTGTAGAGGTGTCTAATTAGTTCCTCTGCCCATTTTTTAATTGGGTTCTTTGTCTTCCTTTTATTGAGCTGTATGAGCACTCTATATATTTTGGAAATTAATCCCTTACCTGATGTATCATTGACAATTATGCTATCCCATACAGTGGATTGCCTTTCCATTTTGATGATTGTATCTTTGCTGTGCAGAAGCTTTTGAGTTTGATGCAGTCCCATGTGTTCATTTTCTCCTTTGTTTCTGTTGCCTTAGGTGATATATCAGTGAAAATTCTGATGCATATGATGTCTGAAATT